GGGGGGGGGGGGGGGAATAATTTCACGCTGCCCTCGGGTGAAAGGAAGTAACGCGGCGGGAGCGACTAATGAACCTTCAGACTTCGTTGATAATCGTAAAAAAAAAAAAGAAGAGAAAAGAAGAAGGAAGAGAAGGAGGAAGGTGGGAAATTATTAAGCAAATTCGAGATGGATGTAAATAGAATTGAATTATTAACAAAAGTGTTATTAATAGCCCGACAGCTCGAAAATTCGTGATGCATTAACGAGACGGTTTGGACTAATTACATTAACGCGTTCGGAGGTCCAATTCAGAAGATTTATCGGAAAAAGTTGGCATTACACTTGACGGTAAATGTTCTCCGGAATTGGTAACGCGCTCGAAATTCGTGCTTGGCGAAGCGCGTCTCCGTCTATGTCGCGTCGCTCCGCGAATTTTCCGCTCGGCGTCAGCAGAGAGTAAAAGTAAAACAATCATATTTTTCGCGCTTTTTTATTGACGGGGCGCTCGTTTAAATGTGACATCTCGACTTCGGCTACTAAATACCGGCAACGACCACGATGGCTGCAAAATTTGCACGGCAACGGCGAAAATCGAGTTCTCGCTTTTCCGTTATTTTGGTAATGCGCGTCGGCGTTCCTCAGATTGGCATGTACCACGCGTTTACACGGTGTTTTTCGTTTAAGCTCGATTTATGGTTGTGCGTACGCAACGACCGTGATGTTTGCTCTGCCCCGAAATGCAAACAATTATGTCGCGATGCGCGGTAGTCAAGCAAAAATGTTCATATTTGGACAATTATAAAATGTCATTATTTATTGAAGATCGACGATATTTTTGGCGGACAATCCTGTTGAACAATATTCTTGATGAATGCACGCTGGACAATTATGTTAGTTACAAAACCAGAGACAATTCTGGTAGCTAAAAGATGAAACTGCTTGGGATTTCCATCGAAATGTAACGCTTTTCCTATAGTTACTGCGCACGAAACATGCACAAAAAATCTCAACGGAAACAGAATAAAAATAGACACGAAACTATTCGATTGTTTAGTAATTAAGTCTGCTGTACGCAATGGGCAACATGAGCAGATTTGGCTTAGTAGTATGCTTTATTTTTTGTGCATGAGTTCTAATTGAAATTGTTCTGGCACGTAATATATATTTTCATATTTTTTATCTTTTACGTGACATTATTCACAACCATCAAACAACATACGTCCTTTTATCCATTCTTGTATTTGTACTATTTTGTACTATTTTATCAAAAGTTCCGAGTCTGAGCTGTGGTGGCGGTTTTCATTTGTACCATTAGTATCAGAATTAGCTTGATGTGCTCTCATCTCAACGAAATTCTGCATTATTAGCATATATCCTGTTTGTCTTTTGCTCGCTTTCATTCCTAACTTTTTAGTTTTCATCTCTGTCACAGGGCTTAATATTGCCAAATGGCTTATTTCCTCCAGTTTCCCCCTTTCTTTGCTCTACGTTTTTCTTTCACGTTCGTCCATCGTTCATGCAATTTTAAGCTCTTTTCTAAATGATATAAATACATATGTTTTATATTTATTCACGATAGACGTTATAATAATGAGTTGGCATTACTGATGTTTGAAAAAAATCGGTACACATGTTTTACAGTAAATTGTTTCAACCACTGAATATAGTTTTTGTTCAATATTTCCACCACTAATGAGAATGTATTAACACTAGACGCAATAACTAAGCTATGTCTACATCAACTACATATATTTCTACCAGGAAATTTGGTCGTTCATTTGCGCGCGGAATGCGCGTAAATACTCCTTATTCCGCGGTGGCTAACCGCGAGAGACGCAATCTTCAAGTGGGAAATATTCGCTTCGTTTTCGCGAAGGTGATATCAAGAATTGATAGGGCCTTCTCTAGAGCCGTACGGATTTTTTGTATCAATTTTCCGGCTTCATTCAGTATTTGAGTGCATTGTACTCGGGGAACAATAACTCATCTCGATATTGCTAGGCTGGCTCTCGCGTCCGATATTCCCCGTGCATATCGATATCGCTTACTCTTTCCTTTCGTCCCCTTTCCGCCCTTCTCCATATCTCTGGGTCTCTCTCTCTCTCTCTCTCTCTCTCTCTCTCTCTCTCTCTCCCCCTCTCTCTTTCTCTCTCTCTCTCTTGCGTTGTATGAATCTCTCCCTCTTTCTCTCTCTCTCTCTCTCTCTCTCTCTCTCTCTCTTTCTCTCTCTCTTTTCCTTCTCACTCCCGCTCGCTTTCTCATCTCGCTCTCCCGCTTGTGCACCCCTTTCTCTTCTACCTTTTCTACCAATAAAGTCCAAGCCTGGTCACGATTTTACGAGGCGAAACGAAACTTTGTCTATTAACCCGTGACTTATTAGCCGCTGGGCGCGATGCACACGAGCTGCAAGCGATCACGTCGATGACATATTTGACCGATGAATATAACATATTCATTGAAATGCTAACGACGCAACGAGAACGACGTAGCAACGCGCTTGCCTGCCTGCCTGCCCGCCTGCCTGCTAGCCGATCGGATAAAGTAGACGAGATTTTGTTGAAATGCGGTATCGACGCGCGTAGAGGGTGCCTTTGTGAATAAAAGGTGTTCCATTCAACAACCTACCTACATATGCATAACTGCAACTATTTTATAGTTTCGAAAAAAATAGATTATTCATGTTTCATCTCGGGAAATCTCTCGACCCCGTCCTCCATTGTTCGCCTCGCTTTAACGCTTTAATCGATGCATTTAATTTTTAAAAACGCACAAGCACTAACTTATGCATTCGTTCTCGTGAAAAGTGTAATGGCCGAATGTTTCCGGGACGTTTGGAGGGAAAGAAGTAACGAAAAAAAGAAAAAGAGAAATCTTCTCGCATCTCCATGTTTCATGTAGGAGTCTAAGAGTATACGCATTTCCATGTTTCATGCAAAGGTCTAAAAGCACACGATCGATTATAACAAACTGCATGTGTGAACGGTGAAGCGTAAATCCATCCACCGTCGGAAAATTTTCCATTTAATAAGTAAATTATAAATACCGGCTGTGTTCCCTCTTGAAAATTGTGTTGAATAATTCATTTACGAGAGACTTATTCCGAACTCTCCCTTGTCGATAAGAGTGTCTTTAAATATCCTCACAGAGGCACACAGAAGGCTTATAATATTTATTGATATATTTATTGATAAAAGAGACACTTTTATCGACAGAAGAGCGACCAGAATGAGGGCCCGTATGATAATATCACTGTCGTCGCCAAATTGAATAGTCGCGATGCATAATATTGTCGGGTCCTATATTAGTATCTGCCGTCGCTTCCAAAGTGAGGCATGCATGTTTGATCGCACTTAATATATGCGACCTGCGAAGGATGTTTTGCCGCCACTCGCCACCTGCCCGCATTCCCTTGGCTTCTCCGCCACGCTCCGCATCTGTCATGATCCCTACGGGGCCTCAATGCCGGTATCCTCGATCGTCCGACACTTTCACGCGGAATAATCCTCCGGGATAGATCTGGCCTTTTCCAGGTGTCGCGAAGAGAAGGCATTTAGGGCTCGGACTAGCCTTTGAATTTTAAAATCACCGGTCGGAGCACCAAAGAGATAGTGGACTTGGCGCGACAAAGTCCTCCTACGGGGATTGTTCCCCTCGATCGAGAGATTTACAAGCAAATCAAAAATCGCAGCGGGAAGGAACAGCGCGAAGGAACAGTCGAGAGAACGCCTCGCTCGCGACGGTCTCCCCGGCTCTTCTCCGTAGTTAAGGATCGATCTCTCGGCGTCTCGCGTCGCGTCTTTATTGTGTATATTCGCCCTAGACAGACTTCGTGCTCTCGTCGCGTTTACGTTTGCGCGGCACGTGGACTCTTGCTCGTCGTGGGATTCTCCCTCTCTCCCTCGTCGCTCGACGGCGGGGTGGCGGCGAGCACGAACGAGGAACCAGATAATGAAGGATGGACCGGCCGGCTGCCCGACACGGCCAGTGTTTGAGAAGCACTAGTCCGGTCCCTGCGGAGTGGTCGGTCTTCTACAAGGCTATCCAGCGAACCCAGCGACGGGAGCGGGCCACTTCCCGAGGGAGTCCGCTCCATCTATCGCTACCTGGCCGAGTGCTTGAGAGCACGTGAGTGAGAAACCAGGTTATATGCAGATACGTACTCCCCTGCCCCGTATTCCTTCCTGTGTTCCGCTGCCCCTCGTGTCCCTTACCTTCTCTCCTACCCCTCCGTTGTGTGTCGCGACCGCTATCCCTTTTTGCCTACTTTCCTCGGGATTGTCACACCCCGGAGGATCTCGCGACGGTACCCCTGTGGTGGTACGTGCCTCGCCGAGAGATAAAGGAGCCTCCACTGCTCCTCGCACGACTCGCACGCTCGTCTCTTCCTGCGCGCGATATCCCTCTTCCGCCGTCCCCCACCTTCCCCATCTCTCATCCTTCGCGAATCGATATTACGCGTAGCGCCACGTCTACTTTAAAACCACTCTCGTCTCGGTGCACTCTCCTTCTCTCTTTCTCTCTTTCTCTCTCTCTTTCCCATACGTACGACGGAACCTCTGGAATCGGGAGGGAGCGACTCTTCGAAGCCAGGCGAGAGAGGGTGACTGCGCTTTGATATATTGCTCGCTTTTATATATCACGCGATGCACGTCGAGCTGTAGGATTTTTTACACGCGACTTTCACCTGTTGGTATTCGCGACACGCAGGCATCGCGTTGAGTCGTTCTCTTCTTAACGTGCAAAATTGATTCTCCTTCTTCTCGCAGTACTTACCTATCCATCTTGCCTTGTATGAAAAGTGCACATGCATATTTAACAGTCGCACACAGTCTTTTCATGCCCGTAGTTAACTTTATTGATCTAAGATTGGTTTCTCTTCGTATCGAGAGAGAGAGCGAGAGAGAGAGAGAGAGAGAGAGAGAGAGAGAGAGAGAGAGAGAGAGAGAGA